CGGGCCTTGCTTTGGGTCAATAAGGCAGAACGATGACCTTGAAGCAACCACTTTCTAACATAATATGTTGGGCTGAAGGCTGTTAATGGAGGCCCAACAATTCTTATAAATAGTAGATTCTGCAGTGTTTTGATCGACAAGGAGGACCTTTCTGGGGTGGCAATCAGGTTCATTTGTGAAAACCCCCTTTCACACTCACTGGAGGAAATTGCTATTGTATTGAGAGTGCACTGAATCCAAGTCAGTTCCTTGGGCATTTCTTCTCTCAATTTCAGATGGTCCCTGAAGGCTCTAATAGCTTCTCTTTCACTGAGCCGAAATCTTCCTGCCAATGTGCGTATTTCTTCTTCTCCAAAGAGAAGGTTGTCACTAAAGGTTGTTGGCCAAGTCTTGGAATCCAGGACTCTTGCACACTTTGCCAGCTTTACATCTTCTTATGAAAGCAGTCTTTTCTGAAGAGAGATTTTAAGTCGATTGTAGAAGGCAACCGGGGAGATTGGAGGGTCATCAGCTCTATTTTTTGTGTGCAATGGGACACCCTTAAATCGTATAATTTCTGCCGCTTCAAGTGCTGTCTTGTAATAAGTACTCGGAACAGTGCTTCTCATCCTGCAAACATCAAGAAGACACTCAATCTTGCAGTGGGCCTTGTACATATCAATATCTCGCTCCTGCAAATCTAAACTCAGTTCTGACAGTTCTTGTAAAGCATCACAGAATAATCCAAGATCCAAAATAAATTCAACCGATGTAATCTTTCTGTGAAGACCTTCATATGTGCTTTTTTCCTTCCCGCCTCTCCCTCCGTGTGATCTGCCTTTTTCAAAATGAAGCACTAAGGCTTCATAATCCTGCCAGACAGCCAAAACAGTCCTGTAGCTGGATGCAACCCATCTGGTGGAAAGAATCCTTCCTATTTTTAAAATATCCATCTCCATTGCAGCTGAACATGAGTTGAGCGCACTTGCATTTTTGGGAGATGCATGATTCATGACATAAAATTTGTCCAAAAAAATTCCTAAATCTATTGATGCCAGAAACCTCTTTCACAATATCATGTACTGATAACTCCAGCCGATGGCTGGCACAGTGCCATAAAACAATAGCAGGGAATCTATTTTTCAAAAGTCTCAAAACACCTCCATGGGATCCCAGCATCACTGCAGCACCATCACATGTCAATGAAACTAAATTTTCCTTAAGGAAATCTTCATTGAACCCTAGTGACTCACGCTGAGATATCAAAGTGCTGAATATTCCATCTGCTGTCACATCTTCCAGCTCTACCAAGGCAATGAAGAACTTTGCAGGGGCCGGCATGCCTATTTCCTCAACACAGGTGCAAATGTACACTATCAGCACAGATTTCTGACTCACAGTAGTGGATTCATCGATTATCAGTGAGATTTTACTCTTTGAGTCAATAATCCTTCTGATTACATCTCATTTCACTGCTAATGTGATTTAAAATATTTGTACATGCATTAGATGAATGCAAAATTCTCCCCATGTCAACACCATTTAATCCTTGTAAATCAATTTCGCATTCAAAATCATTAAAAGACTGGTTCCTTTTTGCCAACTTATATGCAGTACGGAATATTTTAGCAGTAATTTCCTTCTCTCTTTCTAGAGTCAGTGAACTGAAGTCTGTACTTCCAGGAGTTGAAACTTCAGCTGGATCAGTTGAATCCCCCGATGCTGAGGAACAGGCCTCTTCATCAGTCTCCCTACGTTTAGCTTTAGGGCCTTGAAAGAAGTCAGAGCTCCTCCTCATCTTGTATCACCAATAGTCTGTGAAGCGAGCGAGAGAGAGAGAATAGGTATCACTTCTATGTCCCACCCAGTCTGAAACTGCACACTGCAGTATGCATTATCTGCTTCGTTAAACACTTGTTGTCCAGTCCCTTCAACTTTCTTTTAAGGAGCATAAGAACTTCAGAAGAGCTCTGCTGGATCAGACCAGCAAGGGTCCATCTACAGCAATATCTGCCAATACATGGCAAAAAAGGTCTGAAAGCTGAAAAAGAAATCCATCTTACTCTGAGCACCTCTTCTTCTCTGGATGGTGACTGTTGTCAAACACTTTGGTAGTCTTGGCAGCAGGTGAATTCCAACTATGGCAGTCCTAAGGCATGAGAAAGGCATACAGAGGATGCAGGCATATGAAAATCAAACAAGGATCAGCAAAGACTCTCACGTGCAAGCCCCACCACGTCCCTAATTTTAATCCTCTATCCCCCTTTTCTGTTTCATTCTAACTTGAGAAAGGGAGGGAGGGAGGTGAAAATAGGTAGCTGGAGAAGGAATTAAAAAGGGGAAAGAGAGTAAGAGAAAATAGATGAGGGGAGGAAGGGAGGGGGAGAGAGAGAAGAAAATCTTTACCAGAAAAACTGGAAGGAGAAAAGCAAGTTGATCTGAGAGAAAAGGAAGGAGGAGGGAAGGAAAGAAAGAAAGAAGGGGGGAAAAGAGGGGGAAGAAAGGAGGAGAAAAAAGGAAAGGGAGAGGGGAAGACAGAAAGAGAAAAGGGACAGGAAGAAAGCTAGTAGATTGGGATGAGGGGAGAGGAAGGAAGAGGCGGAAAGTAAGTAACCATTTAACATAAATGTGTTCTCCAACCTCACCCCTGCAACCTTGGCTCGGAGAACATCTTTTCTCCAAGCCCTGTCCCACTTAGAGCAGGGATTTAAAGGGACAATGCCTCTGCCAAGCCTGCTGGAACAGCAGGCAGGGGCTTGAAGAAAGCATATAAGCAGCCGCCTGGGATGGTGGTGGGCGGACAAGCAGCCTCAGCTGGAGCCTGGGCAAACCCCCCTCCCCTCCCACAAGCCCTGCAGGGCCCCGGAGCTCAGCTGCGCCTCCTGCCCGACCCCTCCAGCTTCCTCACCACAAGGGCTCTGCAGGCACCATCCCAGGCGGTGGGCAGACAAGCGGCCTCAGCTGGAGCCCGGGCAAACTCCCCTCCCCTCAGCCTTGCAGGGCTCCAGAACTCAGCCGCCCCTCCAGTCTCCTCTCCAGGAGGGCTCTGCAGCCGCCTGAGATGGCAGCAGGCGGACGAGCGGCCTCAGCTGGAGCCCGAGGAAACCCACCGCACCCCACAAGCCTGCTCAGGGCCTTGCATGGGAACACTCAGTGACTCACCTCCAGACGTGGCAGGGTAGCAGGAGGGCGACAGTGGTAGTTCAGCAGCATGCAAGGCAGCAGTAACGGACTGGCAGCAATTCAGTTTCACTTTCAAATAGTAACGTGGGGAGGGCAGCATGCTCTATAGCCACGCATGTGCAGGGGTTTTGGCTGTAGGCATGGCCAACTCGGAAGCCAGCCAGAATGCTGTTCCGGTGCGTTCCTGCCCCAAAATAACCATGGTGACTTCTGTTTCAAAGTATATGAAAAAGTGTGCAAGCACACAGAAGCTGATACCCAGAATAAAACTTCGTTGGTCTTAAAGGTGCCACTGGACTCAAACTTTGTTCTGCTGCTTCAGACCAACACCGTTAGCCACCTGAATCTACCTGCATTTCTTTGATAGGTGCTTGCAGTTTTTGGCTATGGTTTAGCACTGAAAGAATCAGGGATCCAAAGAATGGCCTGACAGTACCTGATTGTCATTCTAGCTGCCTCAATAAGAGATGACCTTGCCAATCTCCATATGAGTCAACTAGGAGTCCTAGACACCATAACACCCTTGGCCAGTGGGAAGCTGAGCTGTACAGAAACATGATTACTAATCACCCCCAACTTTAAGTGCTACAAACACCTGTTTTACGCATTCCTCATGTAGTGTGATTCTAAGCATCCAGAGCTCAACAGCAGTAGAAAAGAGTAAGAGTCCAGTAGACCTTAAAGACTAACAAAATTTGTGGTAGGGGATGAGCTTTCGTGAGTCACTTCTCATTTCTTCAGGTATCTGAAGAGTTGAGCATTGACTCACAAGAGCTCATACCCCACCACAAATGTTGTTAGTCTTTAAGGTGCTACTGGACTCTTATCCTTTTCTACTGCTACAGGCAGACTAACATGGCTACTCATCTAGAGTTCAACGGGATATACTTCCACGTAGGCATGCTTAGAATTGGAGCCCCATTCAATTTTGTGAGATTCACTGGACTGCTATGGACTTCTAAGTAAGTAACTGTGTAGGTTTCTTTGTCAGGTGAATGGACTTCCAAGGAAAGTCTATTCAAGGTATGAGCTTTCATGTGCACGCACAGATTTGCAAATAGACTGGAATGGTGGGTAAGGTTCAAACTTATAGACAGGGAAGTTAACATGTAACATGATGATGTTTTAAGATATGCAAAGTCAAAAATAACAAGATAAGGTTATAAAGTCAACAGTTGTAAAGCAATAAATATGTCAGAATAGAACCCACCATTCCAATCTATTTGAAAACGTGTGCCTGCACACGAAAGCTCATACCTTGAATAGACCTTCGTAAATTCAGGATCGGAGCTACGCAGTACGATCTTAAGCGAGCCTGTTAAAATGCGAGCAGGATCTCTGGGCTTCGCAGCATGCCTTGTTTGGTATGTTTATTTAACAATTCCACGATAAAATTAATACAATTTACTGCTAAGCGAGCGGGCAGCCGTCCCATTAAATCACAAGCCAGAAGCCCTCTTTCCCCAGTGCGCAGGCGCCTCAAACCCTTACTAGAGTCTCAGTGCTGCCCCCTCTCGGACGCCGCGGCGACACTTCTCATAGAAGGCGTTGGGGGGGCACCTACGGGCCAAGCATCGCAACTGCACGCTCGGCGGAGCACGCAAGACAGTTATTCCCCCACAAATCATCAGCGGGGGGAGCCGGGGACAGAAAGCGCCACTCAAACACACACACACACAACCTGCAAATTCAAACTGGGCGAAACCAACCCGTTCTCTATGACTAGCAATGATTCCGAGACAGACAGACCCAGAAGGGGGAGGGTGACGAGAAATCAGCCGGCAGCGAAGCTTTGGCCAACCACCTCGCCTTCCCAACGTCATATCCGCCGGAGGCACTTCCGCTTCCGGGTGCGAGGGGGCAGCAAGGGGGGTGGTTGGGTTACCCTCTTTTCTTTCTGTACAACCGGCCCGTCGCCGTGGCTGCTGCTCCCACCATGTCGCTGGTCGCCGAGGTCGGCTTCTCGGAGGCTTTGTCACGGTGAGGAGAAATTTTTTTAGAAAGACAGCCCCTCCCCCCTTTCCCTCCCTCGCGCTCAGTCGGTGGGCGTGGCCTGGGCTGTTGCCGCCGTGGCCCCTCCCCCTCGCGGCTCACCGTCCCCCCCACCCGCCGGTTACCCGGGCAATGGAGGGCGTGGGGGAGGGGAAGGAGGGCGGCCGCTCCCCCAACGCCCGCCGGCCTCGGTCGGGTATTCCTGACCTCGTCGCGAAGCGTCTCCGCCCCCTCAGCGCGTTGTCAGGCGGGGAGGGAATCCTTTGAACGGGGCAGGCCAAGGTTGAACGGTCGCGACCCGTATTGTCTGCCACTGCTATCCCCCCTCCCATCTAAGGCTGCCTGATAGAGCCAGGATAGCGGTTAGATGCAGAGGTGTCAAACTCATCTGTGTCACTTTGTCTTGTCGGGCCGGGCCGTGTGTCCCATAAAATGTAATGCCAGGGACAGGAGATAGAAACTGTATAAGGGACAGGAGCTGGTAAACTCCGAGTTGGTGTGTTCTCACAACAAGGCTTCCTAGGAAAACCTATATGGTCGGACTGGAGAGCCAGCAGTGCAGCACTGGACAGAAGCTCCCATGCTGCTTGACTGCTGCAGACAAGGTTTTGTCTATGTATGTATGTATTTATTAAATTTATGAATTGCCCCATCCCTACTATGGCAGGGCTCTGCGTGATGTACAACAGCATTAAAACAATAACCAGATAAAACAATAAATAATCAAATTACATTTTAAAGGATAGATGGTGAATAGTAATACTTATAATTACTTATTCCCATATTACAGACTGCTGGCCTCTTCACTGGCAGGCGGGTATGAGGTCAAAACGGGCATGGAAAACTGAGGAGGGTGCCAGCCGAGACGTCGTCCTCAACCAAATTCCTGGCGGAACATCTCTGCTTTGCAGGCAGTGTTCCCTCTAAGCTGAGTTAGTGTGAGCTTGCTCACAGTTTTTTTAGCTTCCAGCTCACACCTTTTTGTCTTAGCTCCAGAGCCAACTGATTTATGCAGCAGCCAAATCTCTTGCTCACATGTTTAATGCCAATAGCTCACAAAGTAGAATGTTTGCTCACAAGACTCCACAGCTTAGAGGGAGCATTGCTTCCAGGCCCAGCATAATTGCATAGGGTCCCACAGGGTCCTGATGGTATTTGGCAGAAAGTTCCATCAAGTTCTGCCATGCTGAAGCCACAATCGGAGTGGCACTGCCCACTCCCCCCAAGCAGTCTCCTGTTCCTTCACTTGCACTAGTTGCTCGTGAGCCACATAAGAGCCCTGGACAGGCTGGTTCCAGCCCTGGGCCTTATGTTTGACATTCCTGAGTGTTGGTCTAGGATCAGTCAGACCCAGGCTTGACTCTCCTGGTGGTGGAGGAAAGTGTCATGAAGTCATGGCCTACTTGTGGTGACCCTATAGAGTTTTCAAGGCAAGAGACGTTCAGAGGTGATTTGTCATTGCCTGGCTCTGAGCAGCAACCCTGGACTTCCTTGGTGGTCACCCATCCAAGTACTAACTAGGGCTGACCCTTCCTAGCTTCTGAGATATGATGAGATCAGGCTAGCCTGGACTATTCAGGTCAGGGCATGAATCTCCTACTGTGCTACAAAAGCTAGTCAGGTGACCTTGGGCCATTCATACACTCTCAGCCTAACCTACCCTACAGGATTGTAGGATGGAGGAGAATGCTGTAAGCCATTTCAGGTCCCTGTTGGGGAGGAAAGTGGGGTATAAATTAAGTAAATAGCAACAGCCTAGGACACCGTCCACAAAATATATACTTTTAAGGAGGCACCAAATGGCACCTAGGTTGTGTTCTGGGTTTTTGATTCCCCCCCCCCCCCGGGGGGCCCAGCCCAACTGACAATACCAATACCAACCCAGAAAGTTGGTCCATTTTCCTCAGTACTGTGTACTTTGCCTGGCAATAGCTCTCTAGGGTCTCTTGTAATAAAAGGCTTTTGCAGGATGGAAAAAAAAGTAACAGGAATGCCCATGGAAA